TGTTTAAGCAGACGTAAATATTTTGGCACACCGGTTCCACCAGGTTTTTCAAAAACTGATCTACACAAAAAAGTTACCCAATCGACCATATTTTTAAACATATAATTTTTTCTCATACTTGAATAGTTCCGCATTACCGCTGGTCTTGGCTAATTCTGGATTCATTTCCATAAGTTCACGCAGTTGTTCATGTGAGACTTCATCGTTTTTATCAGGTATCAAGTACTTTCGTACTTCAGCTAATGCATACGCTATTCGAGCATAACATTCCGCAGGCGGGGCTACGGTACTAATTTCTACATGCAGATCTTTATTGAGATGAGCATACTTAGAATCTGCTGAATTACGTAATTCCTCTTCCTTGTTGCGATCTCGCATTGAGTTGCGGCCTTTTATAAATATTTTACATTGGGTTTCTTCTTGCAAACGTCTTAGAGAGTTGCCCTTAGGTCCTAGAATTTTGCCGCTGAAATTAAATTTTGGATATTTCTTGATTGGCACAAACACTTTTTGGGTTATTTTCATCGGCCTTTGCTTATAAACATCAGCATAAAATTCTTTGCCCGGAATCCGACCAGTAGAGTAAACCCGGTCGAAAGCTTAGTACAAAAATTAGCACCTAAAAATATACTTTTTTCTCTTTTTTTCTTTCAAATTACACTGACCTTCTTCAATCAACAAAGCGCATAGGGGAAAATCTTCCGATAAACGGGAACGTTCTTTATCTAAATCGGCTAGGAAATTCTGGGCAATTTCATTTACCTTGGGTTGATAACCCTCAGTAATATTCTTCTCAGGCTCTTCATATTCTTCTTCAGACATTTCTTATAGACTTTTTATATTTTATTTTAATAAATGGTACACTTTAAAGCATCCACGCGACGCCAACGCACAGCAAAATTACTACCTTAATAAGCACCAAGTTGCCAAATCGTGTCTTTGTTAACTGATGTAATCAATCCTAAGTGATTGCAAAAATTCTTATTTGCAGAAGTTACCTCTTTCTGATTTTATAGCTTCAGCCAAAAAATGGGAGTATATCCATTTTGTTAAAACAATACAGGACATGAAAAACAGGTAATAAAGAGAATCATAAATGGTAATATCCAAATTATGAATCAATTAATGCACAAAGAGGATCTCGAAGGTGTTATAAAATTTAAGCAGATTATGAAGATAAACAAAATTGTTATTTTTTATATAATTTTTGTTTATTGTTATATTATTTGCTTAAGTTGATTTGTCTAGTTTTGGTTTTAAAGCTATGTTTTTGTTTACATTTTCCCGTAAAACAATATGGTAGTGTCTGTCCACTGTGTTTCCACTTGGGAGTTTTTAAACCGAAAGCAAAAACAACACCTCATTGTGTCAGCCTCCTAAGATTAAGCGTCCGCGCAAAGATCGGTGATATTCACCTCTATTACTATATATCAATATTTCCTTCGATTTTTTGTAGGATCAATGTAGGATGTGCAAAAGAGTCGGTCACAGCCGAACATTTTTTTCTTGTTCGTCACATTATTGTTGCTTAAAACCAAATACGATAGCTGTGCGTATATGTGTAATTTTTAAATAATTGATTCAACTTAGTGGGAAAGCAACTGTTTTGGTTGTGTGTGTCAAGGTGTATGAATTTATTGAAAGCCTCCGCGAAGACGCCGCGATTAGATTGTATAGTTCCAAATTAAACTTTTTTCATTCTGACAGTACAAATTTTTAAAATTTGAGAGAGAGGTGCCCACATTTTTTTCTTGTGCCGCAGGTTAAGGTATTCACTAGCAATTGTTGTGAAAAACAGCTTCCTTCGGAAAGTCAAGGTAATAATACAATGGATTGGAAAATTTCATCGGTATTTCGTCTGAACAAACGTAAACAAATTAATCCTGCTAGCAGTCATAATAATAGACGATCTGCACAATCTTCACAAGATATGCGCTTTAACACAACTCTACTCTCTACTCATTCAAGAATTAGCGGCACAAATACTACAAATCGCTTTTCGGTTCTATGGTCTGATGAAAATGATAATAATACTAATAACTACATTAACGAAGTAACTACACTTCCAGAGCCAGCACAAATTGTAATTCCAAATATAATTCCAATATAAAATGGATGATAGCAGAATGACAGGATGTCATTATTGCTAGCGAGTTTAATTATAAAGCAATGACAGGCAATCAAATTAAAGTATTGACAAAATCAACAGATTTTTATAGAAAATTGGTAAACTAAGTGTGCGGCAAAAAGTTTAATTCATACCTACCACATGAAAGAGCTGAAAAAGTGTTGTTAAAAATCTCCATCACGCTACTCCAATTGGTGATATCAAAGTTGGCGGTCAAAAGATGGGGCTCAAAGTTCGATATGTCTTCAAGATTTATTGCAAATTTGCTAAACATCCACTATTTATGTTTTATATAGATTTAGGACCTAGTGCAGATAATAAGAGGAAATACTTTAAGCGCGCAGCCTTAACAGTCGAAGCAGTTTTAGAAATAAGAAACAATGTCATCGTTGTCAAGACTTTGGTCACACAAGGTCTTACCGCACAAATCAAGTCAAATGTGCTAAGTGTGGTTTGAATCACTTAACTACGCCCTATATTACAAGTAGCGATATCCCACTTAAATTTGTCAATTGCTTGCCGACTTATTATAAGGACTGTTCCACATATTTGCAGCTTTTTAATAATAAAGTAAAAAACTCTAGTCCACGCAGATCAACGCGAGATGATCCGAATATTTATTATTTTTTCAATCAAAAGGAATTTCCGTTGCTTAGCAGTTAGCATCCGGTTACATATGATATTAATATGGCGAATAGCAATAGTAATGTAGCTAATTACCAATATTGGAAAGTCATAATCTTTTTATCAAAATTTGACGATTTGATTAAAAAGCAAATTGAGTTGGCAGACATTATTTTAACACGATGCCGCTTTTAGTTTCTACACTATGCAAATAATTCGCCGAATCACCAATAGGTTTCCGAATCCAATGCATATAATCCTATAAATCTACTATAAACTAGAAAACTTCTATCATCTTCAAGAAAACATTTCTACAAATTTCTTGTATTAATGTGAATTGCAATGGTTCTGATATTTCAATTTACGCAACCTATTTTCCTCCCCGATTTTCATTAAAATGTAATGACAAAGTCTATTGTTGGAGTTGATTTCAAAGTAAAGTATTAGGCAGTCCATATCCCCTGGGTTAGCCTACATGAAAATATCAGTTACTAAAGTTAAAGGTTGAAGTGAGCAAACCAAACATTTAGAAATTCCCTGATTTTTTATTATTTATATTTATTATAGTTATTGATTTACTTACTTACACATGGAACTCAGTTGAAATAAATTAACAGCCGAATTCAATTGACTGTTAGAAGTAAATCTTATACTAAGAATTATTA